CTGGTAACTATTTTAACCGTCACAGGAGCAATGGCGTCCAGAACAGTCAGAACACTGGTGGTGACAGAGTTATACAATTCATCAACAGTAGAGCATGGAGTTTTCTCAAAATTTAGCATTCCCATGAACAGTTCACTTGTGTTTTCATGTATGTGTCTTCTTCTAACAATTGTAAATTCAGCTGGTGGTTTGCTAGCAAAACACATGTCAAAAAATACACAGAAATGATCTGACAAAGCAACATCAACTACATTAACATTTGATACATTAACCCCCTTTGTAATTAGCAGGTCAAGAGTGTGCCCCCTGCTGTGGGTGGGGCCACTCACGTGCTGAATGAAACCAAAGGTCTCAAATACAGAAGCCAGCTCCTTTGCATTTCTGTCATCAACATTATCAACATGTACATTAAAATCCCCTGTAATAACTAAACTATCAAAATCTGTGCACACGAATGAAAGTAGTTCAGTAAAATGGTCAATAAAATCGCAACATGACTGTGGTGGCCTGTACAGGACAATGAAAAGAGTAGAAGATTGCTTTTGTTCCATTTTAAAAGAAATATACTCAAACGATGAAAAATTTCCAAGGGGCATTCTATGGGAGACAAAGTGCTCTCTAAAAACTGCAGCTATGCCTCCCCCCCTTTTGTTTTCTCGTATTTCGGATTCGAATTTAAAATTGGGTGGTGTTGTTTCTATTAGAACTGCATTTCCTGTATTTTGGTCCAGCCATGTTTCAGCCATAAGCATAAAATCAAGATCATAAGAAGTGATAAAATTATTAATTAAAAATGATTTGTTACATAGAGATCTGACATTAAGCATAGCAAGTTTAAAAATAACGTCAGAGTCGATTAATGTGGTTGATTGATTTCTACAGGGAACAGAAATTAGATTTGCAGAGTTGGACCGTCTAACTGCTGTCCTGTTTTGATTTCGTTTTTTAGAATTTAAAAACATTTTTGAGCTGGTGCGAGGAACACACACAGTCTCAATTGGCCTAAAATGTGAAAACCCTTGTTGTTGTTCTTTAGCTCCCAGAGTCAGAAGGGAGTCAGCACAGTTCAGTGTTTGGACTGGTAATGCACTGCCAGACGGACAGGGAGCAGTGTTTGCACCGTTGTACTCACCCGGTGCTGGTGAGCAGGAGGCGGGGGAGTGCGGTGGGGTCCGAGGGGGCTCAGATGTAAACAGTCACGCCCCCCTCGGGGAACGCTGAACAACATGACGCATGTAGTCCATCAACAGGCTGCTACCGTATCTGTTTGGGTGTAATCCGTCTGGACGATAGGCTTCGTAACGTTTCCAGAAAAAGGGCAAAGTTATTCACAAAGACAAAGTTAAAAGAGCTGCATGTAGCCTGGATCCACATATGCAGCGCCACAACACGACTGTAGAGGCAGTCACCTCTGTTTACAGTCGGGATTGGACCAGAAATAAAAACAGATAATCCGGAGGATTGAAGGAGGTGGAACAGATCCATAAAATGTTTCTTAGTGACTTCTGACTGCTGAAGTTTCATGTCGTTAATTCCCACATGCACGACTACCTTGGAAACGGTATCAGGCAGGGACTGAAGCAGAGGAGGGAGACGTATGAGCAGGTCTGGTACAGTAGCTCCGGGAATACAGCGAGTGACCGCGTTAAAGAAGCGGACGTGTCTCACGATGGAATCTCCAATAATCAGAGTGGTCGGGGCGAAGAGTGGACGTGGACGCGGCCTCGGAGAAGGAACTCGGTGGACGGAACCAGCGGGTTCACCCGAAGCAGGACCCGAGCCTGAGCGCCGCTGAACACATGGAGAGGAGGAGCGGGGGTGCTGACTCTCAGCTACAGGCGACCCACGCTGTGTGCTCGGGGACGCTGGAGCGGTGAGAGGGGCTGGCTCTGGGCGCTGCTGCTGACCCGGTGGAGGTGAGCGGTGGTGATGATGGCTCGCTACCCCAGTCTGAGGCTGCTGCACTGGGGTCAAAGAGGGGGAACAGGCCAACATGGCTGGTGGGCCGCTCTTTCGCCTGAGGACTGCTTCCTTTAGGAGCGTTTTCCTCGTAGTGGACTTGGATCCTCGAGCAGTAGAGTACGCTGCAGTGTCCAGGGATTCTGCTGAGGGGGCCGGGATGTCAGTGGAGAGGGCTGCATAGCGGTTTGCCAGACTCAGGACATGGGCCACGGCGCAGGATGGCTCCTCGGAATCCGCGGGCTCGTTATTCGGAACCGGGCGCTTAGGTGTAGAACAGGAGGGTCCGGAGCTGACGGATCTCTCCCACACGACAGTGTCACAATATGCAGCGCTCAGTGACATAAGCCGTGAATGCTGCCCACCAGCGACTTCAAAAAGTTTGGACACTAGAGATTGTTTCTCATTCAACTCTGCGGTGAGACGAAGGACTTCTTTTCGTAGTTCTGCAATGGTGGCACGGTCGCTCTCACGGAGCTCCAAGGTGAGGCGACTAATATTGTGCATGTTTGAGCCAATTTCATTGTCACTTTCCATGTCCTCGTTAGCTTGTGTTAGCCTCTGTGCTACTAGTGGGTTTCAGTCGGGACTAAGCGCTATTTGCTGAAACCACTGAATTAATAAGATAAAACACTCACATATATTAAAAAACTGAACAATAAAAACGCGCTAAAAAGTAAGGGTGGCAAGGATCATTCGGATAGACATTTAAAGGTTGAAAGGAAAATTAATAAATCAATGCGAAACCTAACGGGTAACCAGTGAAGGGCAGCCACAACAGAGGTAATATGCTCATCCCGCCTTGCAGCGCATGTTCTTCTCATTCTAACCTTTGTAATACATTCTGATTGAGACCAGAGAACAAGGTATTAAATAATCCACTTTTTACTTTCTCCAGGTCTGCATGTGAAAAAAGGGTTTGGTCTGAATGACTCTTTCCACTGAGAAAGAGACCACTGGTCAGAGTGCTCCTGATAACCATATGGTGTATTTATAACAGTAGAATTTGATGTTCTCTGCTTTCAAAGCAAAAGGTGCAAGGACCTGTCCAGCTTCATCGATTTGGGTCCATTAATTACTACTAGGTTATATCCAGAGTGAGTGTTCAGATCTGAAAAATACTTAGTAACTAGTAAATCAATGTATGTGTGAACCCTATAAGTCCTATTGTATGTCCATTGTGTTCTACTCTTTTTCTAAACACAATTGCTTCACTGATCATGTGTAACTATTCAACCAGGGAGATTTGTTAGGGTTCAGTCTTTTGATGGTGAGAGGTACCACTTGGTCTAGTGCTGAGCCACACTCCAATAGGAAGGTATACAGCAGGGGTGCCCAAACCTTTTGCTTCCAAGGGCCAAAGTAAAAAATTGCCAGTGGGCCACGGGCCAAATACACCGATATTACACGTGAAACACAAATAAATGTAAATTTGATCAAGTTTCTTTAATTCTTGTTGAATGATTAAATGCATTAATCATTGTCTATCAGTGCAAATCACAGCTGAATGAAGGAAAACAACACACTCTTAGTGAAGTGGAGGCTCCAGGGAAATATGCTGGTTTGAGGAGACTACAGTACGGAAAGATTCCGGTCAGAGAATCAGGGTACAGAGGAGGGAGATTTCTGTTGTAGCTTATTTACAGGTTATAATCAAATATATATAATCATATAACAGCTATAAATTGGGTCTATAACACAATATTTAAAAAATACAGCACTTAATCGGTTGCTCCTAAAAAGTTACAGACATGCCCTTTAACTCACTGACTGCCAGGCATTTTCAGATTTGAGAAGTGCGTTCTGCCAGCAATTTCAGGTGATTTGACCCAACTTTGAAGTGCCACAGAATATTCATTTTCTAGATGATGTAAACACCTCTCTGCTTTACTCTGAAAAAAAACAGTTTGTTTCTACCTCTCACCGTTCTTGAGCTATTCGCCATAGAACAAAGCATACTTTCACCCACAACACCTGGTCTGAGAAAGAAAACAGAGAAAACGAGCTGTATGTAAACAGGAACATATCAAGCAGAAAAGAGACTTTTAGATGCATTTTTGCTGCTTTAGTGACAACTCAAAACATCTTCACACTTGTTCCATTACAAAAATTATAAAAACATGACTCTGAAATAATACTTTTGATGGAAAATTGTTGGCAATTTATTCACAGATAGAACATTTTACTTTCTTCTATTCCATCAACCAAAACGTCAAACAACAACAACACAAAGATCAATAAAACTATAGCTGTATAAAATAGAATGACGCGTGTGAATTTGAGTGTGTGCGAGTGAGTGTCTGTGTGAGTGAGTGTCTGTGTGTGTGTCTGTGTGCGTGTGAGTGTTCGTGAGTGTGTGTATGAGTGAGTTTATCTGCTTTTTCAGTCCTCCCAGTAGTTCAGCTTTGAGTTGTAGAGGTTGAAACACTGTGTGCAACGGAACACGACACGCTGTGTACCATTTGTAGTTCTCCCTCCGTGAAGAAGAGCTCCAGAAAGTCTGGATCAGATGAATCCAGCTCCAGAAAGTCTGGATCAGATGAATCCAGCTCCAGAAAGTCTGGATCAGATGAATCCAGCTCTAGAAAGTCAGCTGGATCAGATGAATCCAGCTTCGCAGCCTCTGTCCGCAGCCTCTGAGGTCCAGGAGCTCCTGTGAAGGGCAACTGACTCGGCTCCCACTCATCCTCCTGTCAGCCATCTTCCCCAGAGCTTCTGGGTGACGAACGTGCTGGAAATTTGATACACACAATAACTATATTATACAGTGAATTTGTTACAATAAATCAATACATAAAATACAATGAAGGCCTTCCTCCCACATTATTGACTGACTGCTTTTGGACGAAACAAGTATACTATATTATTATTATATTATATTGCCATGGGATGTACAAGAATATAAATAGTAGTCCTTTTACCTTTTTTGTGCACAGCAACTGCCTCTTGATGCACCACCTGTAAATAATATACATTTGTAAATCACTATACCAGGAGAATATATACAAAAATATGTACAATGGTATGAGGAGGCATTATCTTTACCTCCATGCCCTGTCAACCCCAATGGGGGAGGGCTCTTTTATCAGAATCTGTGAATGAACACATTTAATTTAGTCAGAGCTATGACACTACAACAAGATGTTCAAGTATGAAATAACTAAACATAAAAATAATAAATACAACAATGATAAAACACATAACTGGCATTTACTAAAGAAACAGTAGGATTTGAGCGTTGTGTTACTTTGCAGATCAGAGCAAGTTTCCGCGCCTTTCCCTCCTCTCAAGTTAGCATATTCTTGGCAATTTAGCAAGTTCTTACCTTCGACTCTTTGTGGAGCTTCTGGAGAGGATGCTCTGCTGGTTTGAGACTGCAACCACTCATCCGATAAATCATGATCAGGTTCTCTGAACGAATCCGAGGCATCAGTAACAACAGCAGCTGATACGCTGCGAGAGGCGGAAGGTGTGTCCCTGCTCCGGGCTCTTGCTCCGCGCAAATGTGGCTGCAGAGACGGACCTCCACCGGGGTCTCCACTCTCTCCCCTCTCGACCTCACTCACTGATCCGCGAGTCAATCTCTGAAGCAGTGTCAACTGCTTATAACTATTCTTTTTCGCCATCACTCTTGCTATACTATCGCTAAACTAGATCGCTGATCCGTCTCAATGCTACGCTATCATCGCTCGCTCTGCTACAGCAGCACGCTCTCCAAACACTCCCACACTCCTCCTCCTTCTCTCCACTGACTTATGACCTCTCCTGTGGTGCAATACTGCATCCTACTGGTGTTGATTTATCATTACAGGTACATTTGCACTATATATCAGTATTGTGGGTCATTCACAAGGTGCGCGAGACATTACTGTAGCCTCCCGTGTAATAACACGAAAAACTCGTCAAACTCGTCATGGGCAGTGAGCGTTACTATTCAACATGACGAGTTTTGTCGTCATGGGCAGTGAATGAGTTAATTTTGCACAAGACGCAGCGCAGGTTGTCAGATGCACAATAGACGTCACGTAACTAATAATAAACTAGCAATAGAATGAACATTGAACTATAAATTAGCAGCAAAACCAAACATTTGAAATTAGAATACTACTTGAAGTACAAATGATAAACTGAGACTCAAGAAAACACGAGTAAAGTCTGTTAAGTATAAACACAGACATAAGGCTAAAGCTGCACATATATATCAACAAATCACACATGGTATTTACTTTCTGGTCATTAACGCACACTGACACAGGAAACAAAATGAATGAATGAAGGCATGCGGCTGCGTGTCGCTCTGGCAACAGCTACGTGCTCAAGTACTTCAATATGCAAAACAGAAACCTAACACTAGGGACGCACTTCTCTGCTTGCTTTCCTATACTTTCCTACTTTCCTTGCACCCAATTGTTCTGATAAGTGTGTTTGATTTAAAAACATTTTAGTGCAAGTTGATGTGAACCATGAGTGAGGCCTGTATCTCAATACAACAGTAAAGTATCGGAAAACTGCAGTCAGGGCGGTGTGAGCGAGCGCGCCCGCTCGACCGAAGACATTTGTCTATGTGTCCAGCCAGCCTGAGGGCCGCACATAGAAACATCCTATAAGCATGGAAAACGTATGGCGGGCCAACTGATATGGTCTGGCGGGCCAACTTTGGCCCGCAGGCCCCACTTTGGGCACCCCTGGTATACAGGGTTATGATTGAATGGATCTACAAATTAGAGATTCATATAGAATGTGTCACAGAATGTAATAACTGAATGTTTAATGGACGCAAGGGATGTACAAAGGACTTTTCGATTGGTGGAGTCAGAACAAAAGCAGTGCTTTATGGGCCACACAGGAATGTCATGGGAGCTGATTAATGCAGGTACCATAGCAGTGGCCAGAATTGAATCTAATATGTTGAACTTTTCATGTGTTGGTTCATTAACAAATTGAGTAATTTTAAAAGACTGGTGCTCTCTCACTGAAAAGCAGATCTAATGATGTGACAGAGACCATTCAATTCAATTCAATCCTCCCTTTATTTACAAAATATTCAAAAATACATACACTTTACTAATTCCTAAAGTTTGCTTTGTGACAGGAATTCCCAGGAAGCTGCATGAGCTTATAGACAGGGCTCCAAAAAATCATGGATATATGTATGAACATTATTACAGGTAATTGTTTGTGGTTTCAAAGTTAGTTGCTCCAGCTTTGAGCCAAATAATTTACATAATTATATTGTACATTATTATGAGTGAAACTCCCTCTTGCTAATCCTATGTTTATGTATATGTATAAAAAATATTAGTTGTTCTATAGCAGGGGTGGCCAACCAGTCAGAGACTAAGAGCCAATTTTTTTTACTGTGTTACAGCAAAGAGCCACATCATACAAATGTGCACTACATAAACATCACCCCAACCCTTACACACGCACGCGCACGTACGCACTCGAGCAGACACGCGCACACACATGCAACCTGTCTGAGCAGAGAGAGGTGTGCTCTGCTCAGACAGATTTATTGTAAATGTCATCAACATGATAATGACAGAAATTGACTCGTACAGTACTAAAGGGCTGGACTCGACTCTCCCCGGTTTGCGGGCGCTTCCACCGCTCGCTTCAGCCGCTCCCCGGTACTTTTTATTTATGGTTTGGCCCTGGTTCTAACCGGGCGAGTCGATACCAGAACAATTTCACGTCAGCGAACATCAATTATGATTCCGAAATGAATGCTTTCAATCTCTAACCAAGAAAAAAAAATCAAGTTTCAACCCAGTGTTCAGCAGAAACACAACTGTCTTTAGTAAAAGATATAGATTTGACACATAACACCAACACCACTTTAGCTGATTTAGAACCACAGACACATGCTCAGTATAAGACCAGATACTTTTGCATTTGATTGAAGACAGACACTCACCAGGCAGAGTTGGCTTATCTCCTGGTGTAATGCTAGTTGTTGTTAGCTGGTTTTAGCATGTTAGCTGGTGTTAGCCGATGTCCGTAAATGTAATCCATTTGGTCAAACCACCTCCAGACTTTTCGGGTCTGCCTCTACTTCTGCTGCTGCGATCTTTCATTTCACGGTTGTCACTTTTAAGCTTTTTAACTTTTCTCTGCATTGTCATGTTTGTGGGAATCATTCTGCTCCGTCCTTAGCGCTAGCTCCACAAACACCTTCTGGTTTCTGGTGGAACCATCGAGCTCACGCTGGTGTCCTCTCCTCAAACTGAGGAAGGTGTTGCCCTCATCCAGCGACCAAGGAACTGTTTTCCGTACGGACGCCATGGGTCGAGGCAACGTGTTGTTTGTTATGATATTTGCTACAGCTGAGGTAGCAGCTGCAGAGTGATTGACAGCGCATCTGACCAACCAGAATTGACGTTCGCCGACGTCAGATTGTTTTGGCGGCCTGGCTAGTGGAGTGAAGTCGGCCTTTACTATTGGTCAGAACTACATATGGAATGAAAGGCAGCGCCACCACCGAGGCGTTTTTGACGCTTGTCGAGTGAAAGCCCGAGAGCCGCACGGAACCAGCCAAAGAGCCGCATGCGGCTCACGAGCCGCGGGTTGGCCACCCCTGTTCTATAGTTAAGTATTTAACATCTATTTATCTTGTTTTAGTGCTGTTAGTGCTCTGTGGGACTAATAAATGTTATCTTATATCAAAATGAAAAAAAATCTGTCAGCAAAGCAGTTAGCATCTTCTCTATTTTGCAGTTTCACTAATGAAATCCTCCCATTCATAACACCATTTGTTCCATGTTGAAAATAAAAAGTCTGTGTTGAAATATCGCTTCAATATTTGCACTCTGCTGCTCTACCAGTGTGTATTTGATTTTGTCCCCAGGAAAAGACATTACTACAGCTGTATTTGCTCCTTGTTGCACTGACACTCAGTTGGTGAGGCAGATTGAATATGTATCATTATGTGCTGCATCATAAGGCACAGTGTGATAAAAGCTAGGGTTAAAATGTTTGTTGCTTTTAAGGCTTGCGCATACTGGATTCCCTCTTTTTGTCAAACATATAAGAAGCTGGCTGCATCCCACACTGTGCTGTTCCATTAATCTCCCCAGAATACATACCCTCCCCTGGTAGACTGATGTGGCTTCCGTAAGCTAATGCTGCCACTAGACGGGATTTTTTCATGAGTGATGACGCGTGGGAGCAAAATATGGGGGTAAAGAAAGAAAAACCTGTACTGGTATTATTTGGCAAGAAAAGAAGAGAAAAGAGAACTCTCATACTTGATTTCTGATCAAAAAAATATTTTTTTTTAAGCACCAATATTCAGCAGCTTAACACATAACATAACCCCCATAACCACAACAAACATATTATTACCTAATTAATACCATTTACTATATTAAGAACAGTCCATCCATCCCTCCACTTTCTTCCCTTTAAATAATTTCTGGGTCAGGGGGTGGCTCTCCTGGAGCTGAAGATCATGGCCCAAGTCTGACGGGATCCAAAGGGTCCAGATTAGGATTTATGGCTGGTTATACACACATATTTTATTGCTTGTGTAAATTCATTCAGCTCACTACCATTAAATTATATTCTTGAACGTAAGCTGCGCGCCTGCATTTTAAATTGTGGGTAACCCTACATTCATCCATGGGAAAATGTGATCAGCCTATTTGTAAAAAGCCATGTGGAGTTGCATAACATTGTATTTCATTAAAGGACATGTACATATACTTTATGTATGCGAGTGAATACATGCCCCATCAAACAATTAGATTGAAAAACTCTTGAATTTAATAAGTGAAATTCAATGAGCGTCTATCTGCAATTTAAATTTAAATTACTCAAGAAGAAACTCATTATGGATAATAACACCTTTTTCCTGGACCTCACATAATATTAACTGTGCGACAGCATAATGAAACCTTATTGAAGAAAGATAAATAGCAGCAGGACATGGCTGTTTAAATTGGCTCAGCGTGGACATTCATGTCTTAGACCAAAAGTCACTCTAGCAATGACGTTCAATCCGAACGAGGAGCATGGGTAATGTAAAAGGAAAAAATAATAGTAAGAGTAAAATATATGCTGGTGTTGCTGTTATTGAAAAGGCAAAACAACACTTTTTTCCAGAGGTGAAACCTGCACCATGTGCAAGTGTTACAATAAACCGGTGGACAGTTCCAATAAAACAATTTCAACAGCAACAAAGTCATAACCCACTGAGGGGGTCCCAGCAAGAACACACTGTGTTTCATTTCACACATTAGGAGCAGGGTAAACAGAGTTGGACTGAGGATAGACCCATGTGGCACTCCATATGTAACTATGGGTAGAAAGTGACACGCTCTTGTTCCCCTGTGACACATGACTGGAAACAATGTGCTGTCGAACACGAGTCCATAGAATGGATGATATGAGCCACCATAACAAAGTCAGACGTCAAGAAGAGATGGGTAGCTCTGGTCCACAGTTATGAGCAGGGGATTCATAACTTGCACCAGGAAAAAAATAGATCCGCTGGCAATAGCAGATGTATTTTGAACTTCATAACCCACAAGCTATATATCATTTTGAAGCTTATTTTCTCAGCTATATGTACATGTAAGTGTAAAAAATATCAGACCTTGCATTAAAAAGATATAACACATAATATGGGCACAGAAAAAAACATGTTTGTATAAGTTTTTTACCTTTCGTCTTCTGCTGCTCCAACAAATTAGACTTTCGCCATCCTTGCTTTGTCTCTTTCTCTCCGTAACTGTTTGTAGCGGGTATTTGGGGACTCGCAGATAACTAATATAGTATTACCAATAATAATAATAATAACGATTAATAATAATGAAATAGAATGGTATGGACTAGTTACAGTACAGAAGACTAGGTCTGGCTGCAGGAGCTGGTGGTCAGTAACAACACAGAAACATAGTTTACATTTGGTGCTGGTACCATATATTTGGAAGTGAACAACTATTTACAAACAGAAATAATAGGACAAAATATAGAAAAACCCCAAATATTTACATACTGCAGTTTGTACCGGTTATAGTTAAGTGCACTTTGAGGTTATTGTTCAGGTAGGATATTACAGAATTCACAGCGGTTGCCACTCTCACACACACACACACAGAACAAAACAGAAAATGAAATATCCCAGCAATGGTGGATTTCGCCAGACCAACGCTACAACCCACGGGGGTTCTGTGAGAGTTTTAGATTGAGTAGTCCATGGGTTATTGTTCGTTAAAGGGAGGGATGTGCAAGTGGGCCTGAAGCGTGGGTCTGTTGAGAAGTGTGTGGGGGACAGGCTGCGGACAACCTTCCTACCGGACCAGCAGGGTGGCTGTTCAGTGAATGCGCGTCGATGGTAGGCTCCCAGCCTTAGTTCAGCTCGCCATCAGTCATCTCTCCAGAGAATGGAGAAATCCAAGAGAAAGAGAGAGAGAACCTGGCCTGCAATGCCACAACAGGACCAGTAAATAATAGGAATGCATTAACTTCAGCATTCATTCAAATTCTATGTGTACACATTTCTAAATCATAATAATCCAATGTAAAACAACAAAACAGGTTGATTTAACAGTCAGTGTAACATGAAACTTATATTAGCTGCACAAGGTTCGTATAAATAAGACAGTACTGTATAATCCGATTTCCTCAGTGCATGTAAACACACTGCAATTAAAACCCACCTAGCATTAGCACATGGTTCATTCATTCAGACTTACTCACCAGTTCCTCTATATAACAGACCCCGATGGCGGTGACGTTACCCTGCAGCCCAGTAGGTTCTAAAAGAGTTGCATTAACAGGCTTAACATAAGCATGAATCGAGCACGAGATTGTAACATTAGCAAAACACAAACCTGCCCACAGCTGTCAGTTAGTAAGTAAGTAAGTAAGTTAGTAAGTAAGTAAGTTTTTATTTATATACCGCCTTTTCACTGCAGATCTGAGTCTCAAAGCGGTTTACAATTGTTAATTATGGGCATTTGTCTCTCACTCCACACAGAGATGGGAGCGGGGTCGCCAGTACAGGAGGCACATGCCAGAACTATTGGACATATTTTTAGTGGTAGGGGAAACCGGAGTACCCGGAGGAAACCTACGCAGACACGGGGAGAACATGCAAACTCCACTCAGAAAGGCCCTGGTCCGACCGGGATTCGAACCCAGGACCTTCTTGCTGAGAGGCGAGAGTGCTATCCACTCAGCCACCGTGCAGCCACCAGTTGACTTCCCCACACCTCTGATGAGGAAGTCGCTGCAGCTGGGTTAAATGTGATTGGCTCACTGCGTGATTGGCTTAAGCGCGGTCATGTGACAGGGGTTAATTAAGGTCACTGGGCATGCCCAGGCAATTTAAAGGAACAGGAGCTGTAGGTCTAATATACACACTATTAATGCATATTTTCACCTGGGTTACACCCTCCCCCCTTAAACCCATGCACGTCCCGTTGCATGTTAAACTACGTGAATAACTGAACTGGTGGTAGGCGCAGGAGTTAAAGCGTCTGATATACTGTGTAATAAAGTTTGAACCACGGATATCAGGGGATTACCAAGCGAATGGTACTGCAACCTTTTAGGCGGCAATCGTTGACGCACAGGACGTCTTGGAATGGGTTCTGGCTCTACAGAATCAGGAGTTAACTCAAAGGTTAGGGGTTCAGAGACACTAGAGACTGACGTCTCAGGATCGACAGACTCGTCGTCTTCAGTGAGTGGAATTTCAACGAATTCGGGACTGACTGGATGAAGTGCGTAGTCAGACAAATTTCCTTCCACAGGTAGTTCGACAGATTCTTCTTCCTCCTCGGACTCAGGTAGGTGTTCAGGTAAGTTGCTCACAGATGCTACAGATTCCTCAGCTTCAGGTAAGTGGTTAGGTGTTACAGGTAAAGTCTCGTCAGGTAAGTACTCACTCTCCGATCCTTCACCAACAACAGCTGGTTCACTCACAGGTGACATTGGTGGAGAAAGATAGTCATTGGCAACATTAGGGGATGAAGCCTTTTGGTAAATCTTCTCAACAGTGAACGTCATCGGACTGGGGTCCAGACTGAGAACTGCTGGTTCAGGTGGAGAGTCTTCCTCTTCAGAGACCTCAGAGTCATGCAGAATCTCGCGCTGCTGCCGTGTTCTTGGCCTTGAGACTGGACTGGCTTCAATGGATGGCTCTTCAACAGCAGGGAGGAACCCACATGGTAAGAGGAGGTCTCTGTGAAGAGTACGTTTAGGACCATCACTACGCTCTGGCTTCACTGTATAGACTGGTAGGTCTCCAGCTTGATCCACCACAACGTAGATGTCCTGCTCCCACTTGTCACTGAGCTTGTGTTTACCTCTCAATCGAACACTACGCACAAGCACTCTGTCTCCAGGCTCCAACTTTGAGGGAACGACCCTTTGGTCAAAGCGGACCTTGTTCTTTTCAGATCCTTTGGCGGCGTTCTTCGAGGCAATGTCGTAGCTTTCCTTCAACCGAGACTTCAGACTTTGGACATACTGTGAATGAGGTTGGTGCTTCTCCCCACTCAGCGGTAACCCAAAAGCCAGGTCGACCGGAAGCCGTGGAGAACGTCCGAACATCAATTCGTATGGTGTGTATCCTGTGGTCTCATTCCTTGTACAATTGTAAGCATGTACCAAGGGTTTGACGAAGTCTTTCCAATTTGTTTTCTGTTTTTCTTCCAGAGTTCCCAACATGTTGAGTAAAGTGCGGTTGAATCTTTCTACCGGATTTCCTCGCGGATGGTAAGGTGTAGTCCGACACTTCTTGATTCCAGCCACTTCACACAATTCCTTGATCAGTTTGGACTCAAAGTCCCGCCCTTGGTCTGTATGTAGTCGTTCTGGTATCCCATAATAGACTATGAAGTTGTCCCACAGACATTTGGCCACTGTCCTGGCCTTCTGATTCGGTGTTGGAAAGGCTAAGGCGAATTTGGTGAAGTGATCTGTTAACACGAGGATGTCTTTGGTGTTACTGGTGTCTGGCTCGAGGCTGAGGAAATCCATACAGATGAGTTCAAGTGGTCTGGAAGTTTGTATACTGACGAGAGGAGCGGCTCTCTCAGGAAGAGCTTTGCGACGTACACACCGTCCACAAGTCTTTATCTTGTGCTCTACGTCAGCAGACATTTTGGGCCAATAGAACCGGGTACGAGCGAGGTCTAACGTACGCTCTATTCCCATGTGACCCATATCATCATGGAGACTCTGCAAAACAGTGAAACGAAGTTCTCCAGGCAGGACCAGTTGATATGAAGTCTGTTCATTGTCCTGTCGCTTTCTGTAGAGAATGCCTTCAACTAGTTCGAGCTTATTCAGCTCCCTCAGCAGCAAGGAAATCTCAGGCAGCTCCTCCTTGGCAGTGGGAGGGACTGTCTCACCTGTCTCCATCTGGTGTATGACTTCCCTGAGATTCGGGTCAGCCCTCTGCTTGTCCCGGAGTTCAAGATGGGAAAGAATCGGAACCACAGGCAGCCCTGGATCTTCTATGTAACTCTCGGGAAGAACATCTGCCATGACAGACAGGGACTCGACCAAGGTGCTCACTGCCTCCCCCCGCATGAGACAACTCTGGCAAATGGCATTGACAACCTCAGATGGAATTGAGGGGTCGCCAGGATCAGACAGATGTTGTCTTGCGAACTGGTCGAGGAGTTCTTGATCGGATTCGCCGCTAGGAGAGTCTTCCTGCGGAAGGCGGGAAAGCGCGTCCGCATCCAGATTCTGTCGTCCAGCTCTATATTGTAACTTGAAGGCAAATGTGGAGAGTGCAGCCAACCACCGATGGCTCATTGCATCCAGCTTGGCTGATGTCAGGACATACGTAAGGGGGTTACTGTCGGTAACCACGGTAAAATTGGCACCGTACAGATAGTCCTGAAATTTTTCTGTCACACTCCACTTTAGCGCTAAAAACTCAAGCTTATGAGCTGCATAGCGACCTTCGCTTGACGAGAGTCCTCGGCTTGCAAAAGCAATAGCCCGTAGATTTCCGTCCTGCTCTTGATAGAGCGCTGCACCCAGTCCCGTGGTGCTTGCATCCGTATGCAGAATGTAAGGCCGCTTTGGATCAGCGAACCCCAGAACTGGTGCACTGGTGAGTTTCTCAATCAAAGTACTGAAAGAAAGTTGACATTGTGGACTCCACCGGGAACCGAAGGGTTGCTTTGGATCAAACTGGTGAACTTTTGAATCAAGTTTTGAGTTCTTCCTTGTGGCAGAATATCCACGGGTCAGGTCGTTGAGAGGCTTTGCGATGGCTGAATACCCTTTAATGAAACGGCGATAATAGCCTGCAAATCCCAGGAAGGATTTTAAGGTCTTAAGATTAATGGGAACTGGCCAGGATTTTAGTGCAGATACCTTCCCTGGGTCGGTCTCAACACCATCTTCAGAAACAATGTGACCTAGATATTTGACTGATGTCTGAAAGAATTTGCACTTTTCAGGCGATAGTTTCAATCCGTACTCTTGTAGACGGCTAAGCACTCCCAGCAGACGGCTCTCGTGCTCCTCAAGCGTGTTGGAAAAAATGATCAGATCGTCCAAAAACACAAGGACCTCTTTCAAATGGAGATCACCCATACACTTTTCCATTAACCTTTGGAAGGTTGAGGGTGCGTTGGTTACTCCCTGCGGCATTCTGTTGAATTCCCAGAATCCGAGAGGTGTCACAAAAGCTGTTTTTGGTTTATCCTCTTCATTCATTTCGATTTGGTAATAACCAGACTTGAGGTCTAGCACCGAAAACCACTTGGATCCAGTGAGTGCCGAAAATGATTCTTCCAAGTTTGGCAAGGCATATGCATCCTTGACAGTCTGCAAATTGAGCTTGCGGTAGTCAATGCATAGTCGAATATCTCCATTTTTCTTCTTGACAACAACTATAGGTGACGAGAACGGTGACTCGGATTCTCTGATGACACCGGCGTCCAGAAGCTCTCTCAGATGTTTGCGAACAGCTTCTATGTCCTGAGGATGGATGGGTCTTGCTCGGTGCTTAAACGGAGTGTTGTCGTGGAGATTAATATGATGTTTCACATGACTAGTGCAACCAACGTCCATGTCATGCTGGGAAAAGACGTTAGACATTGCAGTTAACTTGGTGGTGATTCTTTCCTTCCATTCCGGGGGTAATGGCGATTCTCCAAAGTTGAAAACTACAGGAGTGCCGTCGGCCCCATGTGCTGAAGAACTGGTCACATGCTGCTCTGAGACAATGCATTCATACGCTCCGAGCTCCGCTATGATGGTCGTGGGTGGTATACAAATGTCTTGCTCCGATTCATTTCTCACCATAACAGGTACTTGATGAGGGAACCGCGTTGGCATGGCAACAAGACAGCTGCTAACACACAGACCACCCGGCAGGCCTGAAGCCGGATGTTGGACAACAGCATACTGACTGGCTGGAGCAGAAATTTTAGCGGAGCCCTTCAACAATACGGTGTGGCCAGCAGGAACAAGCACAGAGGATTTACTGAGCAGAGTTACAACTCCAAGATGGTCGCTACAGTTCTGTTGGTAGGTCACTTGGAGAGTTTGTAGTACGGCTCGGTATCCGGATGCATTCGGTTGGAAGGAAGAATGTTCACTTTGCCGAAACTGGTCATAGAGTGTTTCGAGAGTGTTCATGCCAATCAGGATTGAGGTAGGAAATCCTGGTCTAACATCAGGAACAATGAGTGCAAGAGTTGGAACTGTAACCATACATCCAACAAAGTCTTTGGGAAAAGTCACTGTAGTTTCAATGTAGCCAAGATATGGAACGTTTTGGCCTGCTGCACCCTCAACATGGAGTAGCTCATGCAGGGGTTGAACTGGTTGATCAGTGAGATGTTCGTTGTAAAAGGAAACCGGAATGGTCGTAACTTGGGACCCGGTATCTAGAAGACAGGACCCTTTGTGACCAGCGACTTGGACATCGGCAGTACATCTAGATCCTATAAGTCCTTTTGGTACTCTCTTCGCCGTAGACTGCAGCTCAGAACAGTTGACAGGAAGCGTAATTTCCGCGGGACAAATTTGGTCCTGCTCAGCCCCTGGGTGTCCCACACCAGGAACTGGCGCTAGTTTAAATGCTTCTTTGCAGATGGATTTTGTCCCTGCCACTTCTGCTGCTTGTCTTGAAATTGCTTTCGCTTGGCGCTGACCAGCGCTGGGTTTGGATCAGAGTCACACTGAGGCTTAATATGCCCATCCTCCCCACAGCGGAAGCAATATCCCGGCTTCAGATTGGAAGAAGTTGATCTGGTGTTTCTTCCCGTCCTCCCAGTTTCAAACTGCTGTGAGGCAGAATTCGTAGCTGGCGGCGGATGTCTGCTGGTCTCACCGGCGTTGAGAGCGGCCAGCTGCTGTTGAATGGCTGTCATCTGTTGTGAAAGCTCTTTTGTGAATTTGGTTATTGCAGTGCACAAATTTGTTTCTTCATCCACACTGTTCACAAGTTGGGCATGAGTGGTTACCTTCTGTTTGGTTCCTCCCAAATGCTGCCTCATTCTCTGCTCCTTTGTTGCTTCTCTGTCCTCCTCTGTTCGCAGAAGCAGTAAAAGCTCAGCAAAAGACGGGGGACTTGATTTCCTTTGTTTAAGCTGAAGTTCTGAAATCAGTCCATTGTCCCAACACCCTCTGCAGAATTGAGCCAATAGCCGTTTGTCCATATCCCTCCCCAATACTCCCCCTCTCCTCACAGCATGTTGCAGTGCCACCTGGAGTCTCTGTAGGTACTCAGACGGCTTCTCTCCATGATTTTGGTAAGTGTCCATGAACTTGGCATAAAGTTCTTCACCGTCCTGGACAGTGCCATACGCCGACTCCAGCTGCTGTAGATACACATCAGGCGGCGCATCATGGCTTAGATGTTTTACCATGTCACAGGCAGGAGGCAGCAGGCTGTCACGAATTAGTCTGGTGCGTTGGAGATCAGAGATGGCTGGATCACGCTGCACCAATTCGACGCCAGACCGCCAGGTGTCGTAGTCCACTTCCTGGTTTGGCCGGGGCACTTTACCAGAGAACGGTCTCAGCCGGTGGGTGGCATGCATAGATGCATCACTGCTCCGGACCACATGCTCCACAACGTAGCGCTGCACCTCAGGAGGGTTGAGGTCACCTGGTGCAATCGATCGTCTCCCGGCGCTGTTTATACTGGCACTGTTAGAGGCAGAACCAGGTGGAGTGAAAGATGGTTGTAAAGGAGCATACACAGGACCAAAAGCTCTACTGGGTACAGGAGGAGGTACAGATGGCTCTGGGGGGTTTCGTGATTGGTGAGCTGGCTTTTGTTCAATTTTAGGGACATTTGCAGCGGTGGGATGAAGTTGTGTTATAGCTTGTTGAATCTGGGACATCATTTCACCAAGAACCATCGCATAATCTTTTCCAGACAATTTAGCAATGTCCTTCAGGTCAGACAAATAGGTGTCAGTCTTTGAACCGCCCAACTGTGAAGTATAAATTTGGGATAGATTCTTAATGTGGAATTCATTACTTTCATCCGAAATAAATGTATACGGCAGTCGTGAAGACAGTTTAGCAACTGACGATCCCGACGCAAATTCAACAACGAGCATATGATGAAACTCTGACTCGCTATCATCAATAATGTCATTGCGATTAATGTCGCCGTATTGATCGAGAAATTCTATGACTTCCGAAGTACTCTCCTTAACCGGCCCATCCACTAAGACGGCATTAGGAATTTTTATCCCGAGATTTTCAAAAACTTCCATTGCAAAAACGGACTGGTAAGTCTGAATGAACTGTTTCTGTTGTTAAAGTGTTAATTACTGTACAAACCAGCTCCTGGCTCGCTCGCCAAGATGTAGCGGGTATTTGGGGACTCGCAGATAACTAATATAGTATTACCAATAATAATAATAATAACGATTAATAATAATGAAATAGAATGGTATGGACTAGTTACAGTACAGAAGACTAGGTCTGGCTGCAGGAGCTGGTGGTCAGTAACAACACAGAAACATAGTTTACATTTGGTGCTGGTACCATATATTTGGAAGTGAACAACTATTTACAAACAGAAATAATAGGACAAAATATAGAAAAACCCCAAATATTTACATACTGCAGTTTGTACCGGTTATAGTTAAGTGCACTTTGAGGTTATTGTTCAGGTAGGATATTACAGAATTCACAGCGGTTGCCACTCTCACACACACACACACAGAACAAAACAGAAAATGAAATATCCCAGCAATGGTGGATTTCGCCAGACCAACGCTACAACCCACGGGGGTTCTGTGAGAGTTTTAGATTGAGTAGTCCATGGGTTATTGTTCGTTAAAGGGAGGGATGTGCAAGTGGGCCTGAAGCGTGGGTCTGTTGAGAAGTGTGTGGGGGACAGGCTGCGGACAACCTTCCTACCGGACCAGCAGGGTGGCTGTTCAGTGAATGCGCGTCGATGGTAGGCTCCCAGCCTTAGTTCAGCTCGCCATCAGTCATCTCTCCAGAGAATGGAGAAATCCAAGAGAAAGAGAGAGAGAACCTGGCCTGCAATGCCACAACAGGACCAGTAAATAATAGGAATGCATTAACTTCAGCATTCATTCAAATTCTATGTGTACACATTTCTAAATCATAATAATCCAATGTAAAACAACAAAACAGGTTGATTTAACAGTCAGTGTAACATGAAACTTATATTAGCTGCACAAGGTTCGTATAAATAAGACAGTACTGTATAATCCGATTTCCTCAGTGCATGTAAACACACTGCAATTAAAACCCACCTAGCATTAGCACATGGTTCATTCATTCAGACTTACTCACCAGTTCCTCTATATAACAGACCCCGATGGCGGTGACGTTACCCTGCAGCCCAGTAGGTTCTAAAAGAGTTGCATTAACAGGCTTAACATAAGCATGAATCGAGCACGAGATTGTAACATTAGCAAAACACAAACCTGCCCACAGCTGTCAGTTGACTTCCCCACACCTCTGATGAGGAAGTCGCTGCAGCTGGGTTAAATGTGATTGGCTCACTGCGTGATTGGCTTAAGCGCGGTCATGTGACAGGGGTTAATTAAGGTCACTGGGCATGCCCAGG